CAATTGAAATAACCAGTTTTGTACAAAGTGTTTACACAGATCTGTAACATGCTGCACATACATTATAGAAGATATATATATATATACTTTGTATAAAGACACAGAGCTTCTCTTATCGTAAAGTTAACTCCACTTATTTTAACATAATGGGTATTTGTGTATTTCTCCACTGAGAGCTGCTCTATTTGCCGTGAACTGACATTAAACTCTGAATATAGTTCACAAGTCAGAGCAGGTTGGGATTCATTTCTAGTATAGTAGTATAGTGTCACCACCAGCAGCATCTTTCTTGCTACAGTCATGTGAGATCTGTGAAGGTGATCAACATCATTGTAGTCACATATAACACTGATCAATTGGAGGGTAAACACAGGGCAAAGAGGACGCCTCTGATCACAGGTCAGACACCAAATAATGAGTATTGACATAGAGTGGGTTCATGCATAAAGATTTAAATACCAACATGTCAATAATGTGGTTATTCTCTCAGGGTTTTCTCTTTTCTAATGTCACCCTTGAGAAAAGTCCTTCCTCCCTAAATTAAGGTTTTTAAGAACTGATTACATTGAAAAGAGAACAATATACAGATGGGGCTTATTATTTAAATTAATGCATTGTAATGAACAATTAGCATAAATGCTATGCCAAATGGCCCCAACTTCTGATTTCCCCAAGTACTACATTTTCCTCTTATCAATAATTATTCATGTGTGATTGAATAGTTTCAGCTGGGTCAATACTACAAAAGCCTCCAAGGAGCCTGAATCGATGTCATTTGTCTTCCCTTAAATGTTGACCCACACCCACACACACCCACACACACCGAGAGCAAACTGTGCGTTAATATTCAAAGCAGCTACTGGGTGAACCTGTTTCTGAATTTCAACAGCTTGTTCGTTATTTGATTATTCCTTCAGCCTCTCATTTCAGTAACTGCACACAAGGAGGAAAATGCCTTTCTGACGCTGATATAAAAAAAAACACAGCCCCCCCCCCCCCCCCCCCCATAAATAACACAGCAACAAATCTCAAAGCAATGTACACACATATTGACATTTAGATTGAGTGAAAAACATGTAATGGGCTGTTTTATCAGCGACAAACAAGCAGAGAGTTTGGACTTGTGTGGCTGTTGCACAAGTGTTGCACAAGAGCGGGCTTCTGATATTAGCATCGACAGTATGATGGCACCAAGTGCTAGCTGACTTTCTGCCTCTGGCGTCTAATGGCTACAGCATTAAAGTACACCGCGGCCACATGGAGGGAGAGCAAGAGCTTACAGCTGATGAGTAGGGACAGTGTGTGTGTGTGTGTGTGTGTGTGTGTGTGTTTGTGTGTTATTCGCTCCACAGGCCTCTGCTAGATTATCATCTGTTTGGTGGAATCTGATACGGAGGAGAATCCGCCATCAAAGGAAACTCAACGTTTCGTCAAGAAACCTGCCTCTGTCAGCCTCTCTCGCTCTCTCACATACACATCACTAAAGGCACACACATTTATATTCTCACCCACACACAGCTGCACATGAATACTGTACACACATACTCTTCCTCTTTCTATTTCTTTCTAACAAGCACATGAACAGAAATCAACACAAATTAAAGACACACATACTGTACACACACACACACACACACACACACACACAGAGCCAAGCCCAGGGCTGGGGAACTCGGTTTGAACCCTGGGGAGAGACAGAAGTCATAGAGACGCAGATCAGAAAGCACGACACTTCTGTGCGCACGGAGTGACTACGTGCTGTTTATTTGGGGTTGGAGAATGTAATTATATGGCTGCTGTTGGTGTTATTAATCAGTTATGCTCTCGGCTGGAAACTGTTCAATATGATTTTTGTTGAGAAGGGAATGAGAGAATCCAGTGCACCGTCAGATAAAAGCCTTTGGTCTGTTCAGATGTGCCAACAGATGTATTTCCTTGTTTCACTTTTAGTTTTTTAGCAGATTTTTTTGTTTGTTTGCTATTTTAAAATCCCAATTTAAGGATAAAACTCCAGAAAGCCTACAATGAACACTAGAAGAAATATTTATAAGTCTTCAGGGGCTTTTCACACATGCAATCTGGGCTCCTTTCTGGGCTCCTTTCATACAAGGGTGGTGGACAAAGAGTGCTATGTTTTTTGCAATTCTTTGCGGCCTGCACACGTGGCGGCGCTCCGTTCAGCTCGGCTCATGTGGCCTTAATTGTTTATTCACTCATGGTTAGCTTGTCCACTCCTTGTGGCCATTAAATGGTATAGCAGAGGTTAAACACTCAGTTTCTGTCCCTCTGTGTTTTTTTGCAAATTCAGAATATGTATCTGTTTCAGATTTCAGAGGGTGGAAGGAAAAAAGAAAATGAGTCATCAGGAGTTGAAAATAATAGATTATGAAATGCTTATTGAAACTGTTGTGGCTGCACATGAGTTCCAGTAGTAGGTTACAGTAGTTTTCAGTTCTTCCTAATGGTTCATAGTTAGTAGGATGGTAGGTAATATAACTCTTTTACATTGGAGATATTTGGGAATATACAGTTACCTGGCTGAGAAAATGTTCAATATCCGGTCAAACATTGACTTCTGTTTGTGTGTGATAAACTGGGGACACTATACTCTCAAATATAGTTTCAGTTGGTGCTCTCTCCTAAATAACCTACTCTGTCTGCACTCCGATACGTCTAGATTCATGGCTGGATTGTGATGTGTGTACAGTGACAGAAAATGCCGCTCTGTATTGCTGAGAGCTTCTTTTTTTTTTTGCCACATCTGAACCGTGATAAGAACCACCACCAGTGAGATGACGATACCACGGTTGTATTAATTTCAGCTCCTCGCTTACGACTTTTATATTTTCAGATTGACGCACCAAAAAGTCTTCCTCTGCCAAAAGATTGTCTGCATCTGGTGCGGCCAGCTACTCTGCTGCTCCGACACGGTTTGATCATCTGTTCTGAATTTGAAATGCTCCTCACTCCTAATTTTTCACCTTGAGGGCTTCTGCCAAGCCACCGGTCACGACGTCTCTCCCTGCTCTGCCTCCCCTGGTGTGAGAGAGAGAGAGAGAGAGAGAGAGAGTGTGTGTGTGTGTGTGTGTGTGTGTGTGTGTGTGTGTGTGTTATTCTGCCTTTGTGCATGTGTATTGGTGCATGATATGCCTGGGGGGAAATGAGAGTGTATATACTGTACGTTCAAGTCAATGTGTTCACGGGGTAGACAATGAAACAATGAGAATGACTCCTCCTAGTAGGAAAAGTCAGCGAGCCACTGATGGACTCACTAACTCCCCTTTGTGGCAGTATTGTGTGCGTGTGTGTGTGTGTGTGTGTGTGTGAGTGTGTATGCGTGCGCCGGTGACACAGGAAACGGGCCTTTACTGATGACTGATGGCTGAGCCCACTGTCCTGCTATAGTTGACTGAGATTCACAAAAACAAAGTCCAGACTAAACACAAAGCGAGCTCTGTCATCGCACTAATCTGGTGCTGAATGATCCTTTTTGAAAGCATCTCTTCACTTTAGTTTTTTTTTTGCATATACACAGGATGTTGAATATAGACCAACATTTTACTGTCACTGAAATGAATGGACACTAAGGCTTAGGCTTATGCAATATCTCTCCTTTTGTGTCAAAACACACAGTTTAGAATAATTGCCTTACGTTCCTCCACCTGTGTTTACAAAGAGAACACAATACTTTTTTTAATTTTTTGTCTTTAATACATTTTAATCCAATCGCCTCCACTTCTCCCCCCCACCCAAGGGTGAATCTTTAACAAACTCAACCGTTCATCAGCCTGCCAGATGCCTTTGTTCACAGGAGCCAGAGGCCAACCTCAGTGTCTCCAGGCATACTTATCTTAACCGAGCTGAAAAATGTCTGAGTATAGGCTTTGTGGAAAAACGGTGAACAGAAGAGGATTTTATTGGTTTCAAGGAGAATCTTCTCGCTCACACACTGTAAATAAATACAGCCGAACAAAAGCAGAGTCCTTAGGGAGCTCATTCATCGCGTACACAACTGCTCTTCCATTCATTACAGAAATTACACAATGGTTCATCACCGTATGAAATCACTATATGGGCCATGTTTTATTTATTTTTTTAATTACTTTTTGTCTTATTCTCCTGTTGTCTGACTAGTTTACAGCATGAATAATTTCCTCCACTTGTGGTAATTATACACGAGGGCTCACCTAAGAGACTCACTTCCTCCAATACACACACACACACACACACCCAAGAGACGTATTATCCGCGTGTGCACGCATGAACACACACACACACAGCTGCACACATAGCACATTAACACACTTTCTATGCACATGCGCTTGCAGCACACACACTCGCAACAGTGTTTGCTGTCATGCAAAATCATGAGAGCTCACAACCGCTGCCCCTGGGCCTGTTCTCACACAGACACTGCAGGCGAGAGCGGCGTTTTTCACAGAGGCTTTTGTGTGAATGAACAAAGGGAATCTCCTTCCTCCTCTGCTCCCCTATCCCTCTAAATCCCATCATGTGCCACCATGCGTCTCCCACACGCCTGTTTCCAAGTTACCGGCAGCGTCGGCTGCCAATCCCACTTAATTGCCTCCCGTGTAAAGTGACGACTGATGAGAGCGAGCTGTCCTCGCCTTTTCCTGCCACTCGCTCGCTGCTACCTCACCAAAGGAGAGGCTCCACCTGGGAACCACGGCGCACATACCTTTGGGAAATCACGCAGTCGTGTTGACCTAGAGTGAAACTTCAGTAGCCGAACTGGTTGACTTACTGTATGAAAAGAAACGTAACTGAGGGACTTTTAATTTTGATAAACTGTTTCAATTTAGGAAACTGCTCTATGAGGACATTTGATTTAAGCCCTAGTAGACTCTAAGGGATGGAAAGCATAATGAAAGGCTTTGAATAGCAAATGTCTTGTTTGAGATAACAAAGTAAAGAGCAGAGAATGAAACAATAACAGCACGCAGTGTTTGCTTTAACGATAAGCAGCTTTCCTCACTAACCTTTGCTGGAGCCTGGAGAAAAAGAAAAGGTCTTCTCGCTCACTCCCGCTCGCAGAATTTACCACCCTGTTGCTCCTCGTTTCCTCTTCCTTTGTTGCGACCTTCCTCACAAATAGAACCTCCTCATCCTCAGGACCGGGGCAAGGAATTAACAGCTCATGAGGGAAGCCAGGCGGAAGAGAAAGAAAACATGCCAGAGAAGAAAATAAACACTTCTCTTCTCGCCCCTAAGTCCTCCCTGGCAGTGTATCCCCATCCGTCAGAGCACAGCGACTGAGAGAGTGTGAGAGAGACAGATGAAATGATACTGAGTAAGTGGGCGAGTGAGGGAGAGAGAGTGAGAGAGGGAGGGAGGAAGAGAGAGCTTGTGTGTATGCACTGGAGGGAGAGCCTCTCTGCTGTATGAGCTCATGATTATCTCCCTGTCTGTCTCCTCTGCATGCATTTTTTCCCGACAGAAGCCACAAGGTCAGTTGCTTTTACAGTAACGACACATTGTTTCCTCTTGAGGGAAAAGACTTCCTGTTCGTTCTCCGCTCCTCTTCCCTCATGAGTGATATACTCCCTGCATTTTAATGCATTTAAAAGAACTCTGTTCCTCCCCCTCATGTATTAGCATCCTTGTGAGAGTTAATCTAATCTCTTCTCTCACCAGCATTGTCTGCCCAGAGGCTGTTCCAACGAGGAATGTGTTGCAATTTTATTTTGGATTCACGCTGTGCAAAGATGTAAACAGACAAACGGAAGCGACATTGTGTCAAAAGCAAGAGAAAACCGCATGGTTTGTACTTGTGCACACTGGAAACAGATTTTTTAAAAACTGCATGCATGCAGCACCAGACGGCAACTTCCCAGTTCTGAAAAGTGAAGCCAATGCAGAAGAGCCTTAAACTTGCATTCTCTCTAATGGCCAGCAGGGGGCGACGACTCCGGTTGCAAAAAGAAGTCCAATTGTATAGAAATTACCCTACTTCTCACTTGATTTATTACCTCAGTAAACATTGTAAACCACCACCTTGTGATAGCGGTAGCGACAATGGAAGTAAATATGAAATAGAATATAAATAGAATATTATTAGTAATAACATCCATTACCATCAATGCAATTGCAGAGACAAAGCTAACAAAAGACCAAATCACCAAGGTCACCAAACTGTAGTCCAAGGTGACAAAATCACTGTGAATCACTCAGCTGTGAATCTGCATTTTTTTTTCCACCATTTTCTGTCGATCTATAGACTAATTCATTGAAATAAAATAGATTGATTGATGAATAAAATCATCAGTATGTGTAGCACCATTGCATTTGCATGCAAACATTTTATTGACAGGACTGGTTAAGTGAGAAGATTGGCTTGCTCCAGGCCACTATGGGAATTGAAGCACTTTATGGCCACCTCCCAGCTTTACGTCACTATCCGAACAGCAAACTAGTTGGAACGGTTGGTTTTGTAACATTTACAAGCGTAAAGATAAACCAATATTGACACTGGTGACGGTCTGGAAGTGTGTATGGGACATGCTGTAACTGTGAGGCTCTGCCTTTCTTTTCTGCTCTGCCGATTCCTGATGTTGCATGACAGCCGGAGAGCCTAAGCGCCTCCCTGAGGTACGTCGCATACTTGGGTCAATATGCACGTGAAGTGGCAGATTAATCTGGTCACATGCATCCCTAAAAGGTGATTCAGGGGCCAAACTGACAGCATCCTCAATTATGTTGATGAAGTGTCAAAATGTCATGAATCACACACACACGCACACCACAGGCAAAGTTCACACCACAGATGAAGTGATAGAGAATATCTTCGGAGCGAAAGGTACGAACATATGGCCGGGGTGTATTGGTGCTGCACGTTCGCCCGCGGACCGGGGCGAGCAAGAGGTGCTCCCGTGGTGCACTGTGGGTATTGTGCCGTCGCGGCTGGCGGGTGATGCTCCGCCACATGCAGCAGGAAGAGGGAGCTCCGATTAGGGCCAGCTTCTGTCACAGGGAGAGTGGGTCGACAGGGCGGCCTGAGGAAGGCTGTGTGATGATCAACCAGGAGGAAGTGTGCACAGCCGCGATACAACCAGTGTGTTTGTGTGTCTGCATGTGGACTTGAGTGAGTGTTTGCAGGAAATACTCATAGTCATTTCCGATCCAGCACAATCGCTTCAGGGCCATCCTTAGTGCCGTTCTTTGTGACCAACATTCAGTGCATATAGAAACACTTAGCAAGTGAAAAGCTGGCTGAAATCAATTTTCAGTATATCATATTGCATTTGCGCTACATGTGAACCAAAAACTATAAATGCGGGGAAATAAACTGGAATCCATCACAAAACCACAAAAGATGATTTTATTGGTCACAGAAAAAGAGCTGTGATGAAATTCTTGCCAGGATTGCTGTTTTTATATGGAACGCTCACCCGGAGTGCCAGAAAGTAAATATTACACATTTCTCTTACAACTCTTATGAAATATTGAGTGGCTTGAAATGTACTCGGGAAACGAGGTCATGATAAATGAATGCAAAGCAGGGGAAGCTGGCTGCGTGGATTGTTCGCTGACGGCACTTAGTCACAAGACAATGCCTCTGACGACTGTATATCAGACGCCACGTACACTTGACTGTCCTTACTGTAAATAGATGGTCATGTTTTGCAGCAGCTGGACAAAGGTGTGAGTTTCACCTCTAGGTGTGTGCTCCCTCTGTGAACAAGAGACAACACAGAGTCCCTCAGTGGCCGTGCTGAGGTCCACTGAGGACTTGATTTGAATCGTCTTCCACACAGCTCGGCTCATTTATAATGCAAGCGGCTTTGCGTCACCTCATCATATCTCTACCTTCTTATAGATGAGAATGATCTCCTCCAGTTCCCTTTTCTGTTTCAGTTCCTCTCAGAGATTGAGAGATGATAGGAGTTATTCTGACTAGCGTGGCCTTTCCTCCTCTAAAGCCAAGCTCCGGGAGATTTCTTTGAATTTTTGTAAGGAGGCTCCATAAATGTAGGGGATCAGCTTACACAGCTCACCATTAAACCTGCAGGGTATTTGATACAGATGTGACTTTCAATCTACAAAAAAATAAAAAGAGATTTTGGCTCAGCTTTGTATTATATCGTCCAAGTGCAAGGAAATGACTTTTAGAGAAGGCTGGTCTGTATTTTTCTTTCTCTTTCCTCTCTTAGATCCCTCTCCCGTCTACAGCACAGGCATCTGGGGCTGGCTTACCTCCTATTGCAGGGCATTTGTAGTGGTGGTTTTAAAATTAATTTAGGTTCTTATGCAAAAATGTAGCCCGGCTATGAATTCAGTGTCCTGCAGCTGATGCCGTGTAAGTCCCATGGTAATAAAGGGAGTGAATGTGGTTGTCAAGCTTCTCTCAGGAGCCCTGCTTAAGCACACTAGATAGAGGTCAGGAGAGACGTGGGGAATTGTGCAAATCCCTGCAAGTCATTGCATGTCCTCTGCTCTTTAGATGTATAGGCTGCTAATAGAAACGGGCATCTTTCTGCTCTCTCAAGCGTGACTTTTGGACATGTGGGTGCAGTTTTTGCTTTTGCTTCGTTTCATTTCAAAAGGTCAGAAAGGAGAAAGATGAGTGAATTTCTTCATTTAATTCCCCAAAACGAGCCGTCTCTTGTTTCAGTTGATTGTTGCTCTTCAAGTATAAGTTTGAAAAGTGGGCCCCCAGGGAGGCTGGTTAAGGACACTTATACAGTACCTTCATGTGATCGCGACATGCTGGTGCTGACACAGCCTTTACAAAAAAGAAAAATCAGACACAACAGCAGCTCTCTGTTTAGACTAATCCCCTGACGGGTGGCTGTCCGCGTGCTTTCCCTCATTCAGGGAAGTGTGTCCTCCTAATTGCATCAAAGGTAGCGCTGCTTGTTGCAAAGCTTTAAACCCCATCTTGAAAGCAGCAGGGTGTCACTTAACATCAGCAATTACAAGACTCAATCATAAACCGCTCAGCCATCTGAAAAATGTTAGGATAATCATTTTTTTCCTCCTTGAAAAACAAACAACCCAGTGAACACTGTAATATGCAGTTTTTATGGCCCCTCTTTGAATACTTGTTCTGAGCTCAGCAGCTGCATTTCTCACCAAAATCTACATCTGGAGGGAATTACAAAAAGGAATTATATGCATACTTAAACACAGAGAAACTAGCTTTTCATTGTTGTGGAATATAACTTTAATTGGCATTTATAGATCATATTGTTGTTTGGGGGACGGCTTTTACGAGAGTATAACCTCCAACTTTTCCTACTTTTCCACTTTTCGCTACAGAAGAAATTCTCTCTGACAGGTTTTGAGGCATACCTCCACTGTGTTGTGTTTTCCGTGAGTCAGTGGTACATCTAATCGATGTCCTCTCCGACTGAATGTGAAGGAGACAAATGGGTCCTGGCATCGCACTGAAAGAGCTTTGCTCTCTCAAAAGTCACTCTGTCCAAACTCCGGACTTTTGCAGCTGTCGCCATATTGCCAAGACTGAGGTCATCTCTGGTGTTACTGTTTCTATTCCAGCAGCATTTCACCTTCATCATATAATCACAAACATTTTTACTGTCAAAACAACACAGACACACTACTGTTAGTCCGTCTGCACTGCATTGATTTTCCAATTCATTCAGAAATGAGATGTTGCTCATGGGGGGAAGAAAGGATACCTGAAATGACTGAAACAATTAGTTCATTAGCCTGTTAGTCAATCATAAAAACATAAAGCAGGAACAATTTTCAATTGATCTTCATGTCATCTAAATGTAAAAATGCCTCACTGGTTTCAGCCTCTTTAATTGTGGATATGTGTTTCTTTTCTCAGTTTTATATTATTGTAAATTAAATATCTTTGGATCAAGGTCTGGTGGTCGGAAACACCAAGCTATGTGATCTAAATGATAAATCAATTTATTGTAAAAAAAAAGAAATAGGTTTGGCATCACAAACAACTGATGTACTTTGAAATGACAGAACAATATAGGTCTTTGATTCATTAAATACGTGTAAAGAATTGCAGTTTCAAGGACAGATTTGCTCTCTTTATTTATATACAGTATTAATTTAATAGATCCTAAATATTTGGCCTGTAATGTGCAAGAGTTTAGAGGCGCCGCAAATTTGGAAATTGTCCTGTTAGGCGACCTGCTAAATGGGGTGATTTAATTAGAACATGCATATATATCATTTTTAAAAGACAAAATGCTACAAAACTTGCACAACCCAAATGACTTTGCCCTCAAAAACTACCAATGTCAGAGGCAAATACTCCTAATTTATGAAAGGATGA